ATGTTTTCACCACTTTTATTATCCCATTTCATTTCTTTATTTTTAATTTATCTTTGTAGTTTAGTTGTATTACTTTATTCTATTTTCAATTATTATTTCAATCAAATCGTTTATAATATTAATTTGTGAAATAAAGAGAAATCTGATAATGAATTATTGTGAAATATCATTTTTTGTTTTTATTCATTTTATTTCTTTAGTATCATTATCTAATCTTTAATCTATTCCATCTATTTTTATCCTATACTTTTAATTGATAAATTAAATACATTATACTATTTGAACATACCAATACTTCCTGATTATAGACTTCAAGAATATATAAAATGTTTCTACACCTCTTTCGTTTCTTGTTTCTTTTTATTTCTTTTAATTAGAATTATAATATTTTAATCTTTTGATATTATTATTCATTTTTCACATATTAGTTTTGATAAATTAGTATTTAATTTGGTTCGTTTCAACTTCTTCTTTATTTTTATTCTTGTTGATTGCTTGAAAATTTTCATAATTACATTCAATGTTATTATTCGTTATTTCTCTGATTCTTCTTATCATTTCTTTTGATTATTAATATCTTTCTTTTAATCATTTCGTTTATACTCATTTTGTTATTTAATTATTCATTTTATACATTTACTGTATTATCTCTCATATTTCATTTTTCTTTTAACCTTATTATGTATTATATCAAGATATTGTGTTTTCTTTTTTTTGTTCTATTTATTCTTTCATCACCATTTATCCCTTCTATTTTTATCTTCTATTTCTTTATTTAATATCTTCTATCATTTCTTTCTTCTTCTTTTTCTTTTTATCTTCTTTCCATTCTAAATTTATTTTATTTCTTCTTTCTCCTTCAAATTATCATATTCGAATTTCTTCACTTTAATACTTTCAGTACTGCTGTTATAAATCCTTTTTTCTATCATTTCTATTGGATATTTTAATTCTTTAATTCTTTTTGCCATTATCTCTGACCTTTTATATTTATTTTGTTTCTCATTATTCTTCTGTGGTTTTTTAATATTCATTAATGAGTATATCATTTAAGTTGGTAAATTTCATTTGAAGTATTTCTCTTTATTCTTTATTTGTATAATCCTTTCTAAATACTTCTTAATTATATATGATATTTGATAAATATCTTCTTTAATTTCTTTATTATTCCATTTAATCTTTTTATTCTCGTTGGTATTTAATGTTTTCATCAGATATTCTTTAATTAAATTATTATTTAACCTATCTCTATTCTTAAATTTCTCTTCATTTCTTCTATTATTTTATCTGATTATTTAATATTTATTTCTTTTCTTGTACTTTCTTTATTATATCCTCTTAAATCTTTTCATCCCTTGATTATCTTCATTACTTCTTGTCAATATATTCTTTTATTTTATTTGTTATTTATTCTTCCCCTTTATTTCTTCTTATTTATCATTTATTCTTCATCTCTTGTTCTTTCATTATTTATTCAATCTATTTAAATCTTATTTTTATATTTTATTCTTCAATATCAACAATCTCTTTTCTTTACACCATTTTCTAATTCTTCTCATTCACTGAATATGTTCTTATTCATATTTTCTCCTCTTTCTTTAATTTTCAATTATTTTGAATCGGTGATTTCAATATCATATTTCTTCTCTTCTATTATAGTAACGTTCTTCAGTTGCATATCGTTGATGATTTCTTTGTTATTTTCATATCTCTTTCATTACCTTTTCCATCATCGTTTATTGTAGTGTTTCTTCTGCGTTTGTTTGTTGGTTTTTGTTGATGTTTGAAATTTCTATGTTTTCTCTCTGAATTTATGATCAGTCATATTAACTATTTCTTCAATCAATTTCTTTGTTGGTTCTGTCTTATCACATAATTCATGTGTTACTTCATCTTCTTGTATTTTTGTAAACTTCTTTTTATTATTGTATTGTTTTCTTCTGGATATTTCTTTTCTCCTTATTTTGTTTCTTATGGTTTTTTTTTCATTTTTTGATTTCCTTTCTCTGAATGGATTTATGTTTCTCTCTGTTTACTCATTTCACGTCACTTATTATCCTTTAATATCTTCATATTTTAATTATCTCGATTCTTCTATCTTTCAATTCTATATTTTATCTTCTCCACTTCTCATTTTCTTTCTTTACATCCTTTCTTTTCTTGTAGTGGGAAGTAACCTTTCTCGCAAACACTTTACTATTACTCTGATAATTTATATGTGCTATTTGTTTTATGTCTTCTCACTCTATGACCCTTTTGTTCACATCTTTCTCTTCTTCTGATTATTCTAACCCTTATTAAAGTTCTTCATTGAATTTGGTCTTATTCCATTCTTTGTTATTCTTCCTTTCATATTTCTGTCTGAATTTCTTCGATTTCCATTATCTCTTCTGTATGCTCTTTATCTTCATAACTCCATTCTCTCTCCACAACTCCTTAAATTTTTCTTTTTATCTTAATTTCTATTATGTCTCTTTCTTCATTATCATTATTGTATCTCCTCTCTATGACCATATACTATTCTTTCAATATTACTTTTTTCTTAAATATTTATTGATAAAATGTTATAAAAACCCATTTATGTAAAACAAAAAATGAACTTAAAAAGACGAAAATGAAGGGAAAGATAACATATTATGGAATGAATGTTTATCAATTAACTGAACTAGATGAGCGTACTAAACCACAAAAGGTTATTGATAAATTGAACGAATTATATGGAGAATTAAAAAAGGCAAAAATTGATAATAAAAAAGAGCGAATGGAAGAATGGAATGAAGTGATGGATACTTATGAACTCGACCCAGTTGGATATTACAAATATTGTGAGGTTTGGTGGTTAGTGATTCAGAGTAATGAAAAAGAGTAATAAAACGTAGAATAAGGGAATGTTTACTAAACCATCGTCAATAAATATTACAATTAAAATTACATTAAAGACTGTTAAAAATGGATTAACTAAAACAATTAAATATCAAGTAAAACGAATTAATAAATTAACAGCAAAAGAGTATAATGAAATAATTAGTAAAACAATCAAAATAGAAAGAGGAGTTGATAATGATGATGAATATATTTTTGAGAAAGAAGGAAAAGAAGAAATTGGAAAAAAACGAGGGGACTTAAAAATATTATTTGAAGTTATTTGTCATGACTTTATTCGTAATAAAGAAAATGTAATTCTGAAATATCCAATCAATCATTATGATGAACAAAATGGATTTGTTATTAGTCATAGAGGAATTAATGATGATGAATGGATTAACAAACGAGTAGAACCAAATAAAGTTAAAATAGGAGATTCAGAAAGTGTAATAACAATTTATGGAAAAGGATTGCCAAAAAAAGGAGGAGAAGTAGGAGAATATGGTGATATATTTATTTTATTTACTGAAAAAGAAACAAACTAAAAGAAATACCTTTATTACTAAGTTAAATTAAATTCTACCATAACTTGGTTGTGTGTTGTTTTCTTCTTTTCGATGAGTAAGAAAAATGAGTGATTTTTTTCTTTGTTTATTTCATTTTTGATACGAAACTTTTTATAAAACATAAAGAAAGGATTGATTGGAAGAAAAAACTGAATGAAGAAAAAAAAAAGAGAAAATGAAAACTAAAAATTTGAAAAGGAAATGTCAATTGGGAAAGTCACTTGTAAATATTGTGGATGTCCAATCTCTGAAAAGTCATTAGAACTTTTGTCGAAGACACCAAGAAAACAATGTTTGTTGAATAAAAAAAGACAATGGTCAAAAAGAATATAAATTAATAAATTAGTTTCATTTATAGAAAATCAACCAATGAAATCACTTTCGAATTCTGTTTTTATAAATAAAGGAATGATATATAACCCAAAATCAAAACCAGTACAACTTTCTTCTTCAATGACACAAACAGATTCTCCATTACAATGGCTATATTTTGCACAGCAAGAAAAATTACCATTTGAATTACCTATGTGTGAAAGTTGTTATCATAATAAAAGTAATGAAATGGATAGAGAAGAAGCAAATTATACATGTAGTTATTGTGAAATATTAAAAATGTTTGATGATTTACAAGAATTAAAAGGTTTAGAAGAAGATATAAAACAAGAAGAATTAAAAGTACAAGAACTAGAAAAATCAATTTTAAGTTTAGAAAAAGAACAAACACAATTAAAAGAAGATAAAGAATTTATAGTTTCATTACAAGAGTCATTTAAAGAGAAATATAAAGAACATGCACAGTTGTTAGGAGAAATAATTCGAATATCAAATAATTCAAGTGACAGATTTAATAGAATTGATATTCAGAAAGAAAAAGAAGAATCAAAACAATATGAAGAAAATATATGGAATAAAATACATCGAATAGAATGGACTGAAAATGGAATATTATTTGATTCTATTAATATTGTTTCTGATTATCAACACGTTTGTTACATTATTTTTAAACAAATTAAGTTAAATTTAATAAAATAGAAAAAATATAAAAATGTATCAATTTGTTTTAAATTAATTATTAAAGAGTGTTTACTTATTAGACAAATGTTACGAACTCAACTAACAAAATGTTCTATTATAACAGCATATTCTCAGTTTTCAATGACTAAATTAAATTTAAGTTATTTGGACTTTAATCAAAAGTCTATAAAAAAAACTAAATCTTTTAATTATTCTTTACAAAAACTTTCAATGGTCGTCGAAGAATTAATTACTATTGTTTCTATTCAATTTAATAAATATAAACCACTTTATAAAATTACTAATTTTACTGCTAATGGATTATCTTTATCCCCATCAACATCTCATTGGAGTGATGCTATAAAATATTTTCTTTCCGAATTTAAACATTTAAGAGAATTTGTTCTTAAAATTATTGTAAATTAATTTGACTTTATTTGTTGAATGATTTAAAATTTAAAATTTATTTTAAATCAAAAAACAAAATTTATTTGACCCAAAAAAGAAAATAAAAACTAATAACTTTAAGAACTGAAACTTAATATTTAAAAAGAAATGACTAAAATTAATCATCCAGTAAAAATTGAAGCAGTTTATCTTATGTCTATTATTCCACACTTTATTTCATTGAATATGTTAATGAGGTTTCACCAAGTTAGTCATAATTGTGGTGAAGCAATAACACGACTAAAGGTTAATCCATGTTATCAAGAACTATCTTTAGAAACAATCCTTCAAAATGATCAATCAATTCATATAAGAAAAGAGTTACAAGTTTTTACTGGAATTGATACTCTCCATACTGATATTAATACTTTACAACAACTACCACCAGAATTATTAGTTAATGTAAAACTATTTGAAATTAGTTATATTCAAAAACAATCACCTTCTTCCTATCCTATTTGGGAAACAATTAAAGACCGAATTTCTAGATTAATTCTGGAAGTTAGTTGTCTACCTTTATTTGATCTTCTTTCTTTACCTAGTTTACGTCGTTTAGAGATTAGAGCAGGAAGAAATAATCTTACTGAAAATTTACCTATTAGATCAATGGAATCTTTACAAACACTAGTTGTGTATTGTGATGGCTCACAATTTAAGACATATTATGATTTATTTGAACAGTTTGTATGTAGTAAAGTAAGGGTTCTCTATAAACTTAATTGGGTCCAACCAAGTGATTTTGAAGATATTTTGAGGTTACAGACTAGAAGTATTATTGGGATTTATTTAAATGAACTTCCTCCAGATATTAACAATTATCTTTCAAGTAAAGTTGTATTATTATATTATCAAAAGAAAGAATTTAGAATACCAATTAGTATTTTTATTGATCAACAATTTCTTTCATTGATGAAGTTATATTATCCATCAATGATTGATGTTCGTGGAGATATAGAAAATGAAGAAAGTACTATTATAGATCTTCATGAAGAACATCAACTAGAAGAACTAATTTTCAATTTTGTAACTACAAAAGAAAAGATTTCAGTTATTCTTCCTAAAGAATTAAAGAAGTTAACTATTAATCATGGTAATTTCTTAAAAGAAGGAGGATTATTACAACTTCAAAACACACAAGTTCCTCGTGAATGTTATGCCTCATACGGAGATGCTGTTCCAAAAAATGATTAAATCTAAATTAAATAAATTTTCAATATTGTTTGTTTGTTTTTTTAATTATTTACAATACATTCAAGAGAAGGTGGTTGTAATGGGTCAAATGTTGAAGAAGAACTTGGTAAAGGTAATGGAAGTGACTGTTTCCAAAGAAATAACCAATTTCCTAATTGAGGGTTATAATTTAACGGAGATGTGTTTTGAAGAAATAACTCAAATGCAGACTGTTCAAAACTAACTTGAATATTAGGAAATAGTTTATGGGCATAACTATATTGATGGAGAATGTCTTTAATTTGAGTTTCTAAGACTTGATTTTCTTTCATTAACTCGAATTGAATTTCATTAAGAGAAGCAACATTAAAAGCAATTGCACTAGAATAGGGTTTTAGTCGGACATATCCATTTTTCATTTCAATAACCTCAAGAGATTGAAGTATTTTTAATACAGCATTTAATCGTTTATTTAAGTTTGTTTCTCCAACAATTTTCTTATTAATAGGATGAAATGGAACCCAATGACACTTTAATTCTTTAAGGATTGAATATACTAAATCATTATTTTTGTTAAATTCTTTTTTCTTTTGAGAATGGTAATGACAAGGTTTTAATAGTTCAATAATTTTAGAGTAATTTCTTTCGGCAAACATATTAGAGTGAGTGAATTTCTTTCTCAATAAAATTTTAGCTTAAATGAAAGTGACTTTTTATTAAGATTGAATCTTATTAACTACTCCAATCACAAATAAGACCAAAATTTTAAATAATCGTTATAAGTAATTTTTTAGTAATAATGAAGAACGAATAAAATTTTTTCATTTATTTTTTTCTCTTTTTTAATAAAAACCCTTTTTATTAATTAAAAGAAATAAACCCTTAAAATAGGATTACATTTAACAACAATAAGAAAAAAGACAGCATTTAAAAAAGATGACGTGAAATCCAAAAAGAATAAAATGACAAGAAAAGAAATAAAAAAAAACTAATAAAAATAAGAAAAAGAGAAAAAGAATAATAGAAGAATGTATTATGAGGAAAAAAGAAAAATAATAGGGAAATGTATCTAAAAAAATTATTATCCAGTTACAATGACTGAACTCAACATGGAAACGAAACGAGTTAAACAAATAAAATTCACTTTACTTTCTTCTGAACAAATCAGAAAAATGGGTGTTTGTAAGATTACTGAAAGTACTTTAGTTAATAGCGATGGTAAACCAGTTTTAGGTGGACTTGCCGATCCTCGAATGGGACCATTTGAAAAAGGAGAAGAATGTCAAACATGTAGAGGAACAAGGACAGAATGTCCTGGTCATTTTGGATATATAGAATTAACACAACCAGTTTATAACGCTATATATATGAAATATATTTTACAAGTATTAAAATGTGTTTGTCCAATTTGTAAACGAATATATTGTCATGGAGATGAAAGAATAAAAAATATTAAAAGTACTGGAGAAGAACGATTAAAAGAAATTTATGAATTTATTCATAAAAACTATAAAGCTTGTGGAGTTTTATCTGAGAAGAAAAAAGATCTTGATAAACATCAAAACAATGAAGAAGAAGAACAAAATCCATGTAATGGACCAATTGTAGATTATGAACTTCCTAAATTAAAATCAGAAAATAAATTAGAAATTAGAAGAAAAAATGGAATAAAAACTAATGAAGAAAATGATTTTAAACCAAGGGATGCACTTGCAATATTTAAAGATATGACTGATGAAGATGTTAGAGCACTTGGATTTGATCCAATTGATTGTCATCCTAAATTTATGATTTTTACATTAATTCCAGTACCACCATTATGTGTTAGACCATCTATTGTATCAGAAGGAGCAAAAGAATCTAAAGATGATTTAACTGTATTATATGAAAATGTAATAACTGCCAATGAAAGATTAAAAGAAGAAAATCAAAAATGTGAAGGAGTGTCAGAGTATTATAATAAATTAATGGAATTACAAACTATTTGTGCAAAAATATCAATGAAAAATGTTAAACTTCCAGAAACTATGTTGAGAAAGAAAAATTTTAAATCAATTGAAGAAAGACTTTCAAGTAAACAAGGTAGATTAAGATTAAATTTAATGGGAAAAAGAGTTGATTTTTCTGCTAGAACAGTTATTTCACCAGATCCAAATTTATCAATGGATGAAGTTGGAGTACCAACAGGAGTTGCTAGAATTTTAACATTTCCAGAAGTGGTTACTCAACATAATAAAGAAAAATTACAAAAATTAGTTAATGCTGGAATGAATGATTATCCAGGTGCATTTATGTTAGAAAGAAAGAATGGTCAAACATATAGATTAAATGGATCAGAAAAAATTATTGATATTGGAGATACTGTACATAGATATATTATGAATGGAGATTATGTAATCTTTAATAGACAACCTTCATTACATAGAATGAGTATGATGGGTCATAAAGTTAGAGTTTTACCATTTTCTACATTTAGAATGAATTTATGTGATACTACACCTTATAATGCAGATTTTGATGGTGATGAAATGAATTTACATGTACCACAAACACTTGAAGCAAGAGCTGAAGTTGCTACATTAATGTTAACACCAACACAAATTATTACACCCCAACATAATGGACCAGTTATGGGTATTGTACAAGATACACAATGTGGAAGTTATTTAATTACTAAAAGAGAAACGTTTATTGAACAATTAGTATTTTATAATATTTTACAATGGTTAGATAACTTTGATGGAACAGTCCCAATTCCTGCAATATTAAAACCAGTTCCTAAATGGACTGGAAAACAAGTATTTACTCAAATTCTTCCAACTATTAATTTCCAAAGAGGTAATTGGTCAATTAAAGAATTATTAAAACATGGACCAGCAGTAAATGATTCTGATGTATATATATTAGATGGTGTTCATTTAGTTGGGTCATTAAGAGATAAATCAGAATTTGGAAAGAATAGATCAGGTATTATTCAAACGATTTTTAAAGATAAAGGAATGGAAGCAACTAAAGTGTTCTTTAATAAAACACAAGCCACTGTTAATAGTTGGATATTAACAAGAGGATTTACAGTTGGAGTAGGAGATATTGTTGTACCACAATCAGTTCATGATTCTATTAGAGCAAATGTTGAAAAAAGTAAAAAAGAAGCAGAAAAATTTCTTAGTCATCAACATGATGATGAAATTAAGGTACAAGCAGGAAATACTATGTTTGAAAATCTTGAAAGTGAATTAGGTAATTTATTAGAAAAACTTAAAAAAGAATGTGATTCTATCACTACAAAATCATTAAAAAAAGATAATAATTTACTTGCTATGGTAGATTCAGGAAGTAAAGGAAGTACAACTAATATTCTTCAGATGGTAGCTTTTGTTGGAAAACAAGAAATTAATAATTTAAGAATTCCATTTGGATTTTATAAAAGAACATTACCACATTATTGGAAAGAAGATTATGGATTTGTTTCTAGAGGATTTGTAGAAAATAGTTATGTAATGGGATTATCTCCACAAGAATTCTTCTTTCATGCTATGGCAGGAAGACAAGGTATTATTGATACTGCTGTTAAAACATCAGATACTGGATATATTCAAAGAAAAATGGTTAAATGTATGGAAGATGTACAATGTAAATATGATCGTACAGTTAGAAGGTCTAGTGGAGATATGGTAGAATTTATGTATGGAGGAGATGGAGTAGATGCATTAATGTGTGAAACACAAAAATATATTTATTGTAATGATCAAAAACCTGATAATTTTGAGGGAAGTATTAATGAGTATGACACTTTAAAAATGAATGAACTTTATAGATGGGATTTAAATGATGAAAAATTAAATGAATTATTAGATGAAGATATTTATAATAAATTATTTACTGATGAATATCAAACATTATTTGATAATGAGTTCCAAAGAATATTAGATGAAAGAGAAGAATTATATCAACCATGGAGAAGAAGTCTTGATTTAAAACCATGTGATATTCATATTGTTGTTAATTTTGCAAGACAAATTGATAATGTTATTGCAGCAAGATATTTACCAAAGAGTCAAAGAAGTAATTTAGATCCAAAATATATTATTGAAAGAGAAAATGCATTAATTAAAGAATTATCTTCAATTGGAGCTGTCAAAAATGATAAACTTGATGAAGAAAGATTTAAAGATGCACTTGGATCATTTGGTAAATTATTACACTGTACATTAAGTAGTAAACAATGTTTAGTTCAACATCATTTATCTAAAGAATCATTTGACGATTTAATGGATAGAATTAAAAATATTTATGAACGTTCATTTATTAATCCTGGAGAAATGGTTGGAAGTATTGCTGCTCAATCTATTGGTGCTCCAGCAACTCAAATGACTTTAAATACATTCCATCATGCAGGTATTTCATCTGCTAGTGTAACTGAAGGAGTACCACGTTTAAAAGAATTATTGAATGTATCTAAAACACCAAAGACACCAAGTATGAATGTTTATTTAAACAAATGATACTAGAGAGTCAATGGTTGATTTAGATAAGAATTAAACAAAACTATTCCTTACACAAAATTAAAAGACCTTATAGATGATGTAGAAATTTGGTTTGATCCTGATATTACCAATTCAGTTATTGAAGAAGATAGAGAATTTATTAATGATTTTATTGAAGTTGAAGAAGTTAAACCAGAAGATTATTGTAAATGGACAATAAGATTAGTATTTGGATATAATAAAATGGTTTCTATGGGAGTTGATTCTGATTCAGATATTTTAAGAGTAAAAATAAAAGAATTATTTAAAGACGCCTTAGTCATTCCATCAGATTCAAACAATATTGTAAATGGTACTGTTAAAATTGTTGTTCATATTAGATTTAGAGTTGGAAGCATATCTGAATGTTCTAATATAGATCATTTAACTGATGAAGTTGATAAAAGCATTGAAGCAGTAGCATATTATAAATCTAAATTAGATGAATTATTAAGAACTGTTGTTATTTCTGGAATTGAAGGAATTACAAAAGTTATTATTCCTCAAAAACCAAAAAATACGATTGTAGTTGATCCAGAAACAAAAATGTTAAAAGATCAATTACAATGGGTAGTATTTACTGAAGGATCTAATATGGCAGGTTTAGCTGAATGTGATAATGTTGATTTTTATAAAACTGTTACTAATAATGTTTATGAAACTTTCCTTTATTTAGGTATCGAAGCAGGTAGAACTCAACTTGAGGCAGAATTTATCAAAACATTATCTGGGTCATATGTTAATTTTAGACATTTAGCTCTTATGGCTGATGTTATGACATTTACTGGTAGAATTCAACCTTTTAATAGAATGGGTTTATCACGTGGAAGAGCAGGAGTTATTACTAGAGCTTCATTTGAACAAACATTAGAACAGTTTAGAAGAGCTGCTGCATTTAGTGAATCAGATATTTTAAATGGTATTTCTCAAAACATTTTAATGGGACAAAGAACTGTTGCAGGAACTGGTGCATTTACTGTATTACTTGATATCGACTCATTAAAAGCATCAAATATTGATGAAAATTCATTTAGTGAAGAAGAAGCTGATAAAAAAGCATTCATTGATGGATTTGATGTGTCTCCAATTAGAACTCATTTAGTCATGTCTCCAACAAACACTAATAAACCAAAACCAATGGGATTCTCTCCTTCACCAGTTTCTCCAAGAAAAACACATCCACAATTTGCTACTCCATCACCATTTATAACTTCTTCTTCTCCAAGATCTTCACCTATGTTAATGCAATTTACCCCTCGTTTTACTTCAGGTCCTTCACCATATAACCCAGCTACTGGTGCATTATCTAAACCTGCATTTTTATCATCACCAATGTTTGCTGGTAAACAATCCTCACCTTATAATAACCCTAATCCATCACC